CGCTGCATGGGGTTGTTGTGACCCAAGTGCAGGACCCGGCACTTGGCCTTGTTGAATCTCATACAGTTGGCCTGGGCCCATCGATCCAGCCTGTCCAGGTCCCTCTGCAGAGCCTTCCTACCCTCCAGCAGATCAACACTCCCGCCCAACTTGGTGTCGCCTGCAAACTGACTGAGGGTGCACTCGATCCCCTCGTCCAGATCATTGATAAAGACTTCTTGGAAAAGTTCAGACAGTACAGTGACGAGATCTCTATATATAACTAGGCAAAGGGAAAAAGTGTGTTCCTCAGCAGGAGGTGAAGCAGAACAGGTCTTTGAGAACATGCGGTTTAGGATAAAGGCAAAAAAAAAATTGAGGGAAAGGGAATAAAACCTCTTTCCTTCTGAGCTTGTACTGTGCCTGGGGCCGAAGGATCTCCCATGGTGTAAGTGGTAACTCAAAGCAACCACCAGGGACCCTGGCAAACGGAGGATGAAAAGAGCCCAGAGGACCTGGGGATGTGGAGAAGAGGGGCTGAAAAAACCACAGGTTTCTGCAGAGCACGAGCTGGTAAAGCTGTGCCGAGCATTTGCGTGCCCAGAGAAGACTGCTCGGCACTCCCTACCACCGGGCTCTTCATCTGCTCGGCACTTTGCCAGACATCTAAACGTGCGGCTTGAAAACGGGCCGCTTTGTTTGCATCAGGCTGAAATTCTGGAAAAGCATCACCCAGAACAGTTGAGCTGCTTCTGAGAAACGAGGCCGGGAAGCCGAAAGCACATCCTAGCAAGGGATGCTTCCCGAAGCGGCTCATGTGTCCCCATGCGTCAGAGCAGGGACCTGGAGCGATGGGGCGGTGACAAGGACACACCTTTTGCTGCGCCACAAGAAGGCTCACCTTTGGCTGACAGAGAGAGCTGTGAAAAATATCACCTTACATATTTGTGGAAAAGACCTTTTAAGACCTTTGTTGCTAACGCCATCGAAGCTTGCCTGCACTACGCATGCTCCCGCTCATCTCCACTTCGAGGCTGACCAAACACGCTACCTTGCCGAGTGATGCGACACCGTACAGGTGATCTGCACCCCCTTAGCCAGCCCACAGCTGCTTTTACAGCCTGCTGCTCATGTACCGCAGCTTCTTCTGCACGTGTGCTATCCATCTGCCTCGGCTGCCGTCCAGCTCCCACGCGGACCCTTGAGGCAAGCCCGGCAGAGACCGCAGCGAAGGCAGGATCTCACCCCGGGCAATCCCCAGCAAGTGCCAAGAGCCTGAGCCCGCCTCCACCTCCCCCTCTGTGCAGCGCTCGGCGAAGCTCTGCGCTTCTAACTCACATGTACTAGGGACGTCCATGCTTTCCTCTTCTTCAGAGCCCTCGTGGCTTTCAGCCAGAGTCTCTTCGTATTTACTCCACGAGCTGTCATCGGGACCAGGAAAGGAAAACTCTGTGCACAGGAGAAAGAACGACAGGAGTTTACGCTCACGCCTCCCAGCTGCTTTACAGAGGATTTCAGAAGAGGTGGCCGCACCGGGTAAGAGCCGACTAGGAAAGCAAAGTCACCCCTGTACCCAAGGGCAGAGCTGGCAAAACTCAACAGCAGAGGCAGGTGGAAGAGCGCAGGCGGGCAGTGGCAGCCACGTGTCTGCTTTCCACCTCCCCGCTGAGTCCTAGGAACCTTATGGCTCACCGGTGCTGGGGTCTGTAGGGGTTTCTCCTCCCTCAGAGTCATCCTGATCCTCCGCGTTGGGATCCTCTCCTTGCTCAATCCTTGACAGGAGGTCAGGCTTCGAAATGGCAGCATCTGCAGGTAAAAAGAGGATCAGAGCGTTTCCTTTGTCCTCGCGGGAGAGAGACTCTCAAACCTTCGCCCACCAACCTTCCTTCGCTGCTGGGGATGACGGGTAATGGAAAGAGAGGCTTAAGAAGATGCTCTCACACATCTGCACCGCTCACCTTGTCTGGGCCCTGGGAACATGAGCGGACTGCAGGAGCACACTCTGCTCAGGTGAGGAGCACCTCCCAGCCTGCAGCGTGAGGAGGAGAATAAGAAAATGCATCTGTGCTTACCTCCAGGCTTCCTTTCTTCTCCTCTCTGCTAAGGTCCGCGGATCCATTACAATGGGGACTTCAGCTCGGGGACAGCACCAGAGCTGTCAGCCAGCGGCAGCAGGGGAAGTGCCCTCCCCATGCGGATCCCTCCAGCCAGGACCGCTCCATCCTACTCGTCCGAGTCACAGGCTGCTTGCGGATTTTGGCGGGGGAAAGGGGACAATCACAACCTCTCCTAGGATGGAGAGCGGAAAACTTCATTTCCAAACAAGTGTGAGTCTCTGGGTATTAATTTCCACTGCTGCTCTGGTGGATCCGTTTGCCTTATACGAGGGCCAAACCCCTAAACCTCGTTACTCAAAGGAAACCTTCAGATGAAGCACAGATACATTTTTCTAAGCTCCAGGCTCAGATCCACAGATCCCCTTCAGCGGGACTGTTACGTTCCTGCGCCTCTAGAGTAGGACGCAGGATTGGTTTTTAAACAGGAGAACGGGGGGCGGTATTTATCCTTCACCTTTCTCCCTTGCACACAGGGGCTGCAGAAGAGCTCTGTCCAAAAAAATAAAGGAAGAAAGGGGGGAAAAAAAAGGACAAAAGGCCTGGATTACCCAGAGTTGGACGGGAGGTGAGCCTGCACACCAGTGGCCTCAGCACAGGGAGGAGATGCCTGTCTACCAGGGACTGCGTCTGCACTCCCGCCCACCGCACGCGGACGTCCAGCCAAGGCAAGGTCATTCCTCAGAACACACGTAGGTGCTCCCGAAGGCAACGTGTCCCCCCGGGGGGGGGGGGGGGGGGGGGGCCCACCCGGGGGGGGGGGGGCGGGGGGATTCCCAGATTCCCCAGAGGGAATCCCCACAGCTGGGACTGGAAGGAGCGAACAGAGCACGTTTGTTTAGCTGTGAACGTGCTGCCCTGAGCTGCTGGAGGGGAAAGCAGAAGGCAGAGCTCGCCTTCGCCTGCTGCTTCTCCCCAGCTCTACCCCTGGCGACACAGGAGCAGATACCGCAACAGCTTGCGCAAGAAACGTTCCCCGGGATGAGGCTGGGGTCAGACAGAACAGCAAGGCAGGCAGCTCTCCTCCCCTACGAAAGGCTCTGCAGCAGAAGGACTGATCGCCCACAGAAAGGGCTGGAAGGAACCTCAGAGGCAGAGCACCCCTCTGCTGCCCTAAGTGGCGAGCGGGCTGATGCACCCAGCGCAGTGGATCTGTGGACCTTTGCGTGACAAAGAAACTCCCCTCTTCCCCATCTTTACTTGGCTCGAGCGTCCTCTCGCTTCCCCTCCTCCTCACGACCCAGGTGCTCGCTCGGCTCCTACCGGCCACAGAGACCGTCAGGGAAAGGCAGTCACCGCAGCGATGCTCGTGACGTCCATCCACCGCTAAACTGAACTGGTGAGGACGGAACTAATTGCCCGGGCTGCTGTCGAAAGCCGGCCTAACGCGCTCCCAGCCCAGCACACCATCCACCCTCCCCGATCCTGCCAGGCACAGCGGTGCTTCCATCCGCCAGGCCCCGGGAAAACCTGGCACATCAGAAGGCTCAGCCCGTCTTTACCCATCGAGATGACGGCCTCGTAGTTGCCTTTCATGATATGCCTGTAAAGCTCCTTCTGCCACTCGTTCAAGCTCTTCCACTCCTCCTCAGAGAAGTTAAATGACGCATCGTTGAACGCCACAGGGACCTGCAATTAGAAGCGTCGTACGCTCAAGACCTTTTGCTTCTTGTTAAAGAAAACAGCCGGGGAAATTTTCTCACTCAAACCCCTCAAGCGCCGCACAGGGCAGTTCCACGCAGCGACGCCCGCTCCTTCCCACACGCCTCGCTCGGCCCCTGTGCCTGGCTCAGGCAGCTTCAGCCCTGCCTGCAAGGGAGGCGATGGGGTTCTCCCTCGTCACCTGCCTGCCCCCTGCCCCCTGCTCAGCCTCCCCGCACTGCGGGCGACGTCTCACGCACAGCACCCGACACAGACTCTTTTCCCACTTCATTTTTGACGCGGTTCTGCCGCAATTGCCTCTGAAGGGGAACTGGGCCACAGGTTACCAAACCCAGGCAGGCACACAGGGCTGAGCCACGCGATTCCGCGGGACTCGAACACGGCTCCAGCCACGCTAAGGAGTCTGTGGCCCCGCACAGAGCAGCCGCCGCGTTCTGGCGAGGATCACGCGTATATAACGAGCGATGCGCAATTAACACAAAGGGACCCGTGCTGGTGCTTCTCGCCAGGCACTAAAGGAAAGACACCGCTGCAGGGAAGCCGTGTCCCGGTCGGCACCGCAGCTGCCCTGAAATGGGGCTGCGAGCGCAGAGTACGCGCGGAACAACCCCGTTTCAAAGACGGAGCAGAGGACCGTTACCTTGGGGACCTCCCCCTTCGCCCCCGGGGGGAGCCGCCGGATACAG